AAAAAAATGAAAGAAAGATAAATAATTTCAGAACTTTTTACACCTTTAATGTGACCCATAAACTGTACAACTCAGTTGAACAACAAACTGAAATCTTTTAGGTGGAGGGAAGTAAAAATAAAAAAAGTAAAATAACATGGTTGCATAAGTGTGCACACCCTTAAACTAATACTTTGCTGTAATAAAATCAAAAGGTGCTTCAACACTCAGTCTTTTTGGGTATAAGTCTATCAGCATGGCACATCTTGACTTGGCAATATTTGCCCACTCTTCCTTGCAAAAACACTCCAAATCTGTCACATTGTGAGGGCATGTCCTGTGTACAGTCCTCTTCAGATCACCCCACAGATTTTCGATCGGGTTCAGGTCTGTGCTCTGGCTGAGCCATTCCAAAACTTTAATCTTCTTCTGGTGAAGCCATTCCTTTGTTTATTTGGATGTGTGCTTTGGGTCGTTGTCATGCTGAAAGATGAAGTTCTTCTTCATGTTCAGCTTTCTAGCAGAAGCCTGAAGGTTTTGTGCCAATATTGACTGGTATTTCTAACTATTCATAATTCCCTCTACCTTGACTAAGGCCCCAGTTCCAGCTGAAGAAAACCAGCCCCAAAGCATGATGCTGCCACCACCATGCTTCACTGTGCGTATGGTGTTCTTTTGTGATGTGCAGTATTGTTTTTGCGCCAAATATATCTTTTGGAATTATGGCCAATACAGCCGACCTTGGTTTCATCAGACCATAACACATTCTCCCACATGGGAGACTTCATATTTGTTGTTGCAAAATTAAGCTTGGCTTGGATGTTTTTCTTCATAAGAAAGGCTTCCATCTTGCCACTCTACCCCATAGCCCAGACATATGAAGAATACAGAAGATTGCTGTCACATGTACCACACAGCCAGTACTTGCCAGATATTCCTGCAGCTCCTTTAACGTTGCTGTAGACCTCTTGGCAGCCTCCCAGACCAGTTTTCTTCTTGTCTTTTCATCAATTTTGGAGGGATGTCCAGTTCTTGGTAATGTCACTGTTGCACCATATTTTCTCCACTTGATGTCTTCACTCTGTTCCATGAAATATCTAATGCCTTGGAAATTCTTTTGTACCCTTTTCCTGACTGATAACCTTTAACAATGAGATCCCTCTGATGCTTTGGAAGCTTTCTGTGGACCGTGGCTTTTGCTGTAGGATACGACTAACAAAATGTCGGGAAAGCCCTACTAGAACAGCTGAACTTTATTTGGGGTTAATCAGAGGCACTTTAAATGATGGCAGGTGTGCACTGACTCCTACTTAACATGATTTTGAATGTGATTGCTTAATTCTGAACACAGCTACATCCCCAGTTATAAGAGGGTGTGCACACTTATGCAACCACATTATTTTAGTTTTTTATGATTATTCCCTCCCCCCCCCCTAAAAGATTTCAGTTTGTTTTTCAACTGTGTTGTACAGTTTATAGGTCACATTACAGTTGGAAAAAGTTCTGAAATGATTTATCTTTGTCTCATTTTTTTTACATCACAGAAACCTGACATTTTAACAGGGGTGTGTAGACTTTTTATATCCTTTGTAGATGTGAAAGTTTGGCGGCACTGAACATTTATGTATTCCAGAGATCAAGAGATGGCCGAATACAACCTGCAGTATCTGACATCCCCAAATTTTAATAGACATATTTGTCACTTGATCAGTGAATAATAAAGGAGAGAAACTGCTGCATTACCACAACAGCTAGGCAAGTAGTATTTACAGAAGCAGGTCAGCAATGGCAGTCTACATATTTCTCCCAGTACAGCCTAGCCTGAGTCATTTTTGCAATCCTTGTCATCTTAATATTAACTACACAGAGGTGCACCCCTGTTTGCTAAAATGCTCAATTGTGCTAATCTAAGCTGTCTAAATATTATAGTTTTACATTCATCATAGCGAGAATTCTAAGTGGTTATGAACATGGATAAAAAGAGCAGCACTGGGAACTGCATTGTAACGCCATTTTTACACTTTTTCAAATAAAGATACAAGGCTGGTAGAGGATCATAAAGACCGCAGGAATGGGAGGAAACATTGAGACCACAGGACTGAGGGGGGACACAAAGAAAGCAGGACTGGGGAGGGACACAAAGAAAGCAGGACTGGGGAGGGACACAAAGAAAGCAGGACTGGGGAGGGACACAGAGGCTGCAGGATGGAGAGGTGGACTAGAAGAGACAAAACCTGGGGAGGGGCACAGAGACTGCAGGAGGGGGGGAGGAACATGAAAACTGAAAGAATGGGGAGGAAACATGGAGACTACAGGACTGGTGGGGAATACAAAGAATGCAGGACTGAGGAGGGAGAAACAGACTGCAAGACTAGGGGGAGTGGGGACACAGAGACCACAGGACAAGGAAGGATGGGGGGAGGAGTTAGACACAAATACCACCGGTATGAGGAAGAAATAGAGACCGCAGAGCTGGTAGAGGGACACAGAGAATGCATTACTGGGGAAGAGGCTAGTGGGTTGGGCCCCATTCTTAGAACACTCATTGTGCCCTCATCCTGCTGCAGAGTCCTGTACAGATGAAGCAGTCAGCAGAGAGAGAGGTGTATTGTGACTGCAGCCTGAGACCAGCTTCTGATTGCCAATGATTAATCAATCAGAATCTGGGACAGGTTTAATCTACACCTGTAAACTTTCTGCCATCTGCCTGGACACAGCATGGGATTAAAGAGCATTTGTCTCAGGCTGACACTCATCATTTCTTCTCCATTGCAAAGTGCTGCCAGTTTTCAGCAGTGTACGTGATCTGACTCTGCCCCTAAGAGGGTAGTTGCCCGCCCCCTACAGCACACTGAGTGGCCAGTTACAGAGGAGGTAGCTATGAACTTCAGGCAACAACAGTGAAGAAAAGGAGACAGGTAACCAATCAGAAAAAGTATTTTACACACAGCAGAGAGTGATAGGCTCCAGGGCTCTGTCTTTATATGTGGGACTGTGATTTATGTATACAGTAACACCTTTTTGTTAACTGTAGAAAAACATTCTGCAATTTAGCAAAAAAAAAATTGTGCAAAAAAAAAAGTAACAAAAATAATCTCAAAAACTAATTTAGAGACACTGCACTACCCAAATGCCAGGATAGGTGACACAAAATAAATGTATAAATCTGTGGGTATGCTGCCCTTTTAAATGATACAGTTCAAATGAGCATAAATTATACAATACATTCAGAGCAACAACACAGTGATTAATGTGCCAACTCAAAACATGCAAAAAGTTCACTTCAGCAACAAATGTGAAGATATATGAAATCTTGTGATTAATGGACTACAAGTGTCAGTAACTCTTATGATGCCCATGCTCCTTCACCAACATAAGCTCTATCCACTTACAGAAATGTTGGACCCCCAAAAATTCCAAGGTTTAAAGAGCATAGAGGTAAACTCATCCCACCTGGTCACACCACTGCAAAAACAGCCAACTCTTTATTTCTCTGTCTCCAGGAGTGTAATAGTTAACTGCTGCAAATTCAGAACAATCCAATGCCCAGTCATATCCTCAAAACAAGCCCCTATGTGCTCTGACAAATACCTGTGGTCAGACTGGACATTGAGAATCTTACAATGGACTGGGGCTGTGAGGTTACCTTTAACTTTCAGGACAGTCCTGAAGGATCTGGGATGGTTGGAAGATATCATAACTGTGTATAGATAGTACAATTTGGATATTGGTGAGAAATCAGTCATGTGCTCAGGGGCGGACTGACAACTCATGGGGCCCCCGACAACAGGGGATCATGCGGCCCTTGTGTCCTTGCCCAAACTCAAACAGCCTATGAAAAAGGTACCAGGGGCATCTCATGGGGCCCCCTACTGACCCCGGACCCTCGGGCAGTGCCCGTGTTTCCAAATGGTCAGTCCGCCCCTGCATGTGGTATATCAAAAAATATTGTAGGCATAAACTAGCAAATGTATGACCACAGAAGAAACCAGGGGATCTGCCACTGCAGGAGGGGAGATAAGGCAGCCAAGATAAGTGATGCTGGGGCAAGATTTTAGGGAAGGCAGTGGGGACCAAAGACCAGAGGTTTGAAATGGAAAGAAGAGAGCTGGAAATGGAGAAAGCAGGGCAGGTAGGAAAAAGTTGATTATGGGGATTAGTCATGGCAGAGAAGGATGTGAGTTCCAACACAGTATGTAAAAGGTGATTGTGTGGATGTATGCAGAGATGCCAACCTTCATATCACAAGTTTGTAGACCAACCTAAAGCATGCCCAGTTCTCAGGTATATTCATACTTGTATGCCTGTTTCTCACCTTTTGTCCCCATCAGCACACCCTACAAGTGAAAACCTCAGTATTTAAAACACCCAGTCTCTCTCTCCTACATAGACCTCCCATAGTATGTTTATATAGCCCGCTCTCCTCATTCTTCTCCCCCACCCTGATTTTTTGGGTAATGTATAGACAGCATGAATTTATGCAATACATTTTTCTGTAGCTTTCCAGAGCAGTCATATTTCCATTGCTTAAATGAGCTAATAACAGTACAGCCACACTAATTTAGCTTCCATGGAACGCGAGGGAGAAATAGTCACTGTGCTATTTGGGTCGGCTGGAGATGAGAGCTTGAAGCACTCAAAGAAGAAAAATAATGGTGTTGAAATTGCTTAGTGGAGAAGAGGTCCATCACCTAATGACACTAGCTAAAAACTGGAGTCCCACAGAATGACGGGACACTGAGGGCATTTCCAGCAAAAGCTTTTGCCAATGTCCAATAACCTGAAGATAGCAGCATATAACCCATGATCCAGGACTACACATTCTGTGTCCTGTAATTAGGATATACATTATTTCGGCCTATGCACATTTTTTTTTAATGTCTGACATTGTGTAAAGGTCTACTATTCATTGCAGCAAATGCTGTACAGGATAAAAATACACATCCCATATAGCTGGCTGAGATGGATGTGTCTTCAGCCCCTGCAACCAAGGCAGTTTTACTACTACAGAGATTACTCACCTGTTTCCTTAAGTCCTGAGCCGATCTAAGATGACTGTGGTGGTTGTTAGCAGCGAGCCCTTTGGCATATGAGCCCGTGTTAGAAGCAGGTTGGTGGTTAGCAGCGGCAGACTCTCTCCGGCTCTCGGCTTTATGGTCACTGTTCCTCTCTTTCCCTGGGGTGGCCTCTTTGCTTCTGTGTTTGTGAGAAGTTTCTTTTTCCCTCAATAATTTGCAAGACCCGTTTAAAACTGCAAAGAAACACAAAACACATTATATTTGAAAAAAAGTTACAGGTACTGCAATTGAAAGACAATTGTGCTTTTAACTAATATTAAAACTATGTATTGCAGAAACACATTTTAAAAGTAAAAAAAAATGTAAGCTTGAGCAAAGCATATATAACATCAGCCCTCTGCTTGCCAAATATTTAATACAATTACATTTATTGCGCTGTAAACACCTGTAGATTAACTGATATATCTTCAAGTCACACCAAATTGGAAAAGTACTTCAAGTTTGTGTTATAAACGTAGAACATATCATTTGAACAGATCAATTTACTTTTTTACTGTGTTCCATATAAGATTACATGACCAGCAGCCTTCTACCAATGCATGGTTATTGAATTTCACACAGAAGTGCTCTTAGAGAGGTAAACGCACAGCATGTTGACCCTCCGAGTACACGCATGTTTTTTTCACTGTATTTCCTTCAAGTGCCTAAAGCACAGCTAGGCAATCTGCAGCCATCCAGATGTTAAGACTTAGCTGGGACAAGGTATTATTATGCCCAAGGCAAGAAAGCTAAATTGTACCCTCCTTTTTCCAAGAACAAAACAACACCTCCAACACCATTATATACTTTTCAAGTAAAAAATTATATTTATTACCCTTCAGCGAACATGGTATTAAAAAAAGTAAATCAATAACAAACAACAACTTTAATCATTGTTTCATGAGTCACCAGATGGCCAATAAGCTGACACAACTGCATACCACCAGAGTGCTAAAATCTCATCATATCATGTCTGTAAAACGTCAAAAAGCACCTGATACTGTTCTAGGTCCAAAACGGTCTAAAAAAAACTAGATAGTAACAAAACTATTTATGCACTGTTTAGAAGATATTCACAATCTAAGCAGCTGGTGACATCACTGGCACATGCTCACTGTACTCTGCACTGAGGGAATACTAAGTGTGCAGTCATTGAGGCTCAGCCATTAAAATGGCTGGAGTATGTGAACCGGAAGGACATGTTGGCAATGAACAGCCGTTACTGTTGCACTTCCTATGGTGTAATTATATAATATGCATGGTGTGCTTGACGGAGGATGCCGACAATTCTATGTAGTGTAGGAGGTGTTGTGCCATTTTACTTTTATTATTTTTCCGGAGTCCCCACCAGCATGGTCCTTTTTTGTGTATGTTACAAAATGCAGGCTCTCCAATTTGTGGTTAAAGGATAAGTTCACCTTTCATCACATGTTACACCCATATCTTTACCCAAGTACTTTTTTTCCTAATTGACATACAGCTGTCACATGACCCAGCTCTTTCCCAGCCTGTCTTTAGGGAAGCTGTTTCACGCCCCTCCAGCCTGTGTCTTATAATACCAGGGAGGTGAAGCCTCCATCAATCAAGATGTAATATACCACCTACAGTATCTCACAGAAGTTACTACACCCCTCACATTTTTGTAAATATTTTATTATATCTTTTCGTGTGACAACACTGAAGAGATGACACTTTACTACAATGTAAATTAGTGAGTGTACAGCTTGTAGAACAGTGCAAATTTGCTGTCCCCTCAAAATAATTCAACACACAGCCATTAATGTCTAAACCACTGACAACAAAAGTGAGTACACCCCTAAGTGAAAATGTCCAAATTGGGCCCAGTTAGCCATTTTGCCTCCTCGATGTCATGTGACTCGTTCGTGTTACAAGGTCTCAGGTGTGAATGGGAAGCAGGCGTGTTAAATTTGGTCTTATCGCTCTCACTCTCTCATACTGGTCACTGGAAGTTCAACAAGACCCTGAAACTGAGCTGCAGCACGGTGGCCAAGACCATACAGCGGTTTAACAGGACAGGTTCCACTCAGAACAGACCTCACCATGGTAGACCAAAGGAGTTGAGTGCACGTGCTCAGCATCATATCCAGAGGTTGTCTTTGGGAAATAGACGTATGAGTGCTGTCAGCATTGCTGCAGAGGTTGAAGGGGTTGGGGGTCAGCCTGTTAGTGCTCAGACCATACGCCGCACACTGCATTAAATTGGTCTGCATGGCTGTCATCCCAGAAGGAAGCCTCTTCTAAAGATGATGCACAAGAAAGCCCGCAAACAGTTTTCTGAAGACAAGCAGACTAAGGACATGGATTACTGGAACCATGTCATGTGGTCTGATGAGACCAAGATAAACTTATTTGGTTCAGATGGTGTCAAGCGTGTGTGGCGGGTAAGGAGTACAAAGACAAGTGTGTCTTGCCTACAATCAAGCATGGTGGTGGAGTGTCATGGTCAGGGGCTGCATGAGTGCTGCCGGCACTGGGTAGCTACAGTTCATTGAGGGAACCATGAATGCCAACATGTACTGTGACATATTGAAAGACAGCATGATTCCCTCCCTCCGGAGACTGGGCCACAGGGCAGTATTATATAACATGATAACAACCCTAAACACACCTCCAAGACGACCACTGCCTTGCTAAAGAAGCTGAGGGTAAAGGTGATGGATTGGCCAAGCATGTCTCCAGACCTAAACCTTATTTAACATCTGTGGGGCATCCTCAAACAGAAGGTGGAGGAGGGAAATGTCTCTAACATCCACCAGATCAGTGGTATCATCATGGAGGAGTGGAAGAGGACTCCAGTGGAAACCTGTGAAGCTCTGGTGAACTCCATGCCCAAGGGGGTTAAGGCAGTGTTGGAAAATAATGGTGGCCACACAAAATATTGACAATCTGGGTCCAATTTGAACATTTTCACTTAGGGGTGTACTCACTTTTGTTGCCAACGGTTTAGACATTAATGGCTGTGTGTTGAGTTATTTTGAGTGGACAGCAAATTTACACTGTTATACAAGCTGTACACTCACTACTTTACATTGTAGCAAAGTGTCATTCCTTCAGTGTTGTCACATGAAAAGGTATAATAAAATATTTACAAAAATGTAAGGGGTGTACTCACTTCTGTGAGATACTGTACATTGTGTTTAGCTGGGTTAGTGGGAATGAAGGAGGAGAGAGGGAGTGAGTGCAGGGATGTGCCCTATTTGGAAAGTATGCTAGGCTTGTGTCTACCCCTGGTCCAGCTCACAGCTGAAGAACTACAAATTCCAGGTCACTAACAAGAACACAAAAACAACTTGAGGATTATTTTTCATATTTTCATCTCAAGTGTGCAAGTCATGTAATATCTACTGTACACATTCTTGTACAGTGAGTGTGTGTCTTTGTACTTGTCTGAAATATGACATCAAAACTGTCAACGTCAAGCTGAAAATATATCTTCTGGTAAAGCATTTACCAATTTTGAAACTGAGCTCCATAAATTATGTTATAGTGAATTAAAACTGAGAACAGTTATAAAACCTCTACCTTATTTTAAAGAGTGTATACAGCTAAATTGATATTTCATCGTGTACAGGACCCCAAACGTTCAGTGGCCTTCAGGTTTCATTTCGGACCCTCCATCAGAGTGATCTGCCAGCTTGGGGTTTCCATTTTTCTGCTGCATTTCCCATAATGTAAAATATATAAATTAAAGTAGGGTGCCCCAAGAATGGCAGCAGCATGTGGGAACACCAATGGACACATGTATAGAGAATGAGATCTAAGCTCCATGGAGAAGTTAGGACAGATTTGGACCACGCAAGAAAGATTACTTTTTTCATGTTTTTGAAATCTGTTAGGTAAACAGTTTGTACATGCGAGTATTGTGTAATTCCTAAACGGAAGAGGACAGATCCCCTTCCTTTCTTTTTTATTTTAGCAGATATTGGACCCAGAGAAAGACGGCTGTAAATGGACACACATCAATTTACACCTGCCTGTCCATAGGAGTGAACGGACCATCCAATCAGGTCCACCTGAAAAACTGACAGGTGGATCTGATCGGAAGCGCCGTGTGAAATTGTTCTAAGGCTACGTTCACACTAGCCTTGTGTGAAGGTGGCAGAGAGGCGTTTAGGAAGTGTTTTTATAGCTTCCCAAACGTCTCTGCCAATTATGCACATTACAGCACATGGTGCTGTTCTCACAGGAGCGTTTGCGTCGCGTCGCAGCAAAACGGACGCCTCTGGTCGAGTCAGGAGGCGTTGAAGCCTCCTATTCTCGTCTATGGTGCCGCTCCGCAAACGCCCGGTCGGCGTTTGCGGTGCGGTTGTGAAGCGGTTGCGGGGCGTTTGCGGAGCGGTAACACCACTCAAACTGCATTATAGGCGTTTGTGGGGTGATATTAACGCTCGGCAAACGCCTAGCAACCGCCGCTAAACCGCGCGCATGCGGCGTTTGCGGAGCGTTTGCCAAGCGTTAAAAAACTCTCTGCAAACGCCAGACCAACACTTGCCAAACGCTATAGGAGCGGTTGGCAAGCGTTGGTAAAACAGCCAAGTGTGAACGAGCCCTTACTAGGCAGACTCCAGTTGAATGCAGAATGCCTTGAGAAACATCCACATGTGATATTGAGCCTATATCAGCGGTTCTCAACCTGGGGGTCGCGACCCCTTTGGGGGTCGAACGACCATTTCCCAGGGGTCGCCTAAGACCATCGGAAAACACATATTTCCGATGGTCTTAGGAACCGAGACACCGCTGCAGTCTCCGGCGATGTGTGGGCGGGATGATACGCTGCTGTCACCTGGCCACACCTCCGGGATCGCTCAGCAGCTCCGCCTCCTCGCCGCTGATTGGCCACCGGAACTGTAGCTCAGGAGAGGCACACAGGCGGCCAATCACCGGCGAGGAGGTGGAGCTTGGAGAGGAGGAGCCGAGCGGCAGCGCGCGTACATCAAAGAAGACCGAGGGAGCTGCCGGAGCGAGTGAAGAGGAGAGCGGCCAGAGAAGGAAGACAGCTGACAGGTAACTGAGAGAGCGAGCCCAGGCTGGAGCAGGGGTCAGCAAAGTAAGTATCATTGGTGTCAGTGGGAGGAATAGTGCCCCATCATTTGTGTCACTAATACCAACGATGGGGCACTATTCCTCCCCCCACTGACACCAACGATGGGGCGCTATTCCTCCCCCCACTGAC